CCTTCTCCTAGAACAAGTAGTGGAATGATAGGGGGGAGGACATGGGTCCCTTTTGCTTCTCCAACTATGGTGAAAGGCATTGGAGCGAGGAGTGTACGATGGAGACCTTGAAACACTTCTCCCCATAAGTTTCAATTGAGTTTGAACGGATGCTATGCTGAGATATAGCATGCAGTACGAACATTTGATTCAAAGACATCTTTGTCTCCATGATTAAGCCTCTTTAAGGATGAAACACCTTGCACGTTCCATTTTGAAACAAAATGCTAAGCCCCTTTGCTTGCAATTTTCTAATACTCAGCAGCTCTAGCATATAGAACACTCCTATAATTATCAGTATAATTTCATTCACTTGCAGTCGTACATTACCCTTTCCCATTTCATCCATGTTTGAGTTGTTGCCCAGCTTCACTGAATCTCTGGAACTTCCATCAAAGTCTGAAAAATATTCCTTTTTCCCACACATATGACTACTACATCCTGAGTCAAGGAACCACATATCTTCTCTATTGACCTTATTCATATTCACGTAAGCCATCAGCAACATCTCTTCTTGAGTCTCTGCATAGTTTGCCTCCTTCTCCTTGCTTTGACATTCCCAATGAAAATGTCCTATCTTGTGACAATTATAGCACTCCACTATCGCTTTGTTGAAGGTTTGTCTACCTCATCCCCTTCCTCTGCCTCTAAAACTTCCACGACCTTGACTCCTTCCTCCAAATTGTTCACTATGAGTGATCGTCAAAGCGTGTTCTTCTTCAACATGAGAACTCATGCGTTGTTCATGCACAAGCAGACTACTTTGCAACTCATCAATGGTTAAGATCATTGTATCCTTGGACTCCTCAATGGAACACACAATATAATCAAACTTGGGAGTCATAGATCTCATCATCTTTTTAACTACTTCAACATCTCTCTTGTTCTCACCATTTATTTTCATCTTGTTGGCTATGCTGAGGGTCTGAGCAAAATACTCATTTACAAATTCTCCCGCCTTCATGTGAAGCATTTCAAACTCCTTCTGAAGAGCTTGCAAATGTGCACGCTTTACCCGTGTTGAATCTTGATATTTCTGCTTCATAGAATCTCATGTTATTTGTTGTATCCTTGTTGAGGATTATCTCCAAGATCGAACGATCTAATGCTTGAAATAGATAATTCTTTGCTTTCAAATCTTTCAACTTATGATCTTCAATGTGCTTCTTCTAGGCATCTGTGGAAACGATGTCTTCTGTTGCTGCAGAAATCTCATTCTCCACCAAATCCCACGGTACTCCTTTGAACGCAAAAAGTTTTCCACGAGCATCGCCCAATGATCATATTACCCATCAAATTTCGGAATTGCAGGCTGCACAAATGAATTCTCATCGACATACTTTTATTATGACACATGTAGAAGACTGCTGCTCCTAGTTTTAACTTGCTGACACACATAGAAAACTACTGCTTCTAGTTTTAACTTGGCTAGTTTAAAGCATGAGCTTTAACTTGGCTAGTTTAGAGCATGACTCTGATACCAAAGGTTAAGAACAAACAGAGAAAACTGAAAAGATAAAAGAATTAGAGGAGAAATCTCGCATTCTATTGAAGAATGAAATTGGGTATTATATAGCGTTACATAATCAAATCGGGACAAAATCTAGTAGGACTAAATCAAATCTAATTCAAATAACTAAATCAAATCTAATCCAATGACTTAATAAACCTAACATCAACAAACTTCTTAACAAAGTTTAACTCGATTGAATTAAAATAATTTGGGCCTGGATTTACTGCAAAGGATTTGGGTTGAAGACAACTGGGCTGGGCTGCAGCTCAATATGGACTGGTGTTTTCAAATGGGCCTGGATTTATTGCAAAGGATTTGGGTTAACGCCCTCGATGAACAAACTAAATTTAAATTTTATTTAAAAACATTTAAGACTATATTCACTAAAATTTAACGTTCTCCCGACCATAAGGTCTAAATTTGACCAAATATGTTTACTTTTTATAAAGTAGAAATAGAGGCTCTCTTTCTCTAACGAACAAATTTTACTTCAAGAAGTCCATATTTGATATTATATTTAACCTAAGCTCCAAATTCTTTTAAAATAACACGATTTAGTTTCTAAAATTCCTTCGATTAATGGACTATATAAACTATAGGTTCCAAAATCAAAAGCGAACAATATCTACTAGCAATAACCTAGGACTGTTATAAATGGTATCAGAGAAAACATGGGGCGGTGTGTCAACGAAGACGTTGGCCTTTCAAGTAGAGTGGATGTGAAATATCACATTGGTTGGAGAGGACAATGAAGCATTTCTTATAAGGACGTGAAAACTTCTCCCTAACAGACGATTTTTAAGACGTAAGACTAACGACAATATATAATGGGCTAGAAACAGATAATATCTGCTAACGTACAGCTGTTACATTTATAAAATCGTTACAAAGCACAGTAGTAGAAGGTTTAAAATTCGTCAACATGAGATAAGGTTTATCGAGAGCGTTGCCGAAACGCGGAACTCAAATAAATAAATGTGAATGTATTGAATTGAATTGAGGAGAAAGAGAAGGGAAGAAAGCAACAAAAGAAGAGGAGACAAGGAGGACTGAATTTGTGTTTATTGAGGTGATTGTTCATTGGGAGTGATGTGTTAGCAGGCCGCAACTGCTTCGGTGGGGCTCCCCCTCCGACTCTGCCGCCATTGCCAATTGCCAATTGCCTTTGCCCTTGCCTTTGCCTTTGCCTTTCCCTCTGCCCGCCCACCACTTTAAACCTATTCATTACGTTGAGTTCTTATCTTAATGTCCTTATTAACTACAAAACCACTGGATTTTTGTATGTATGGAAAGCCTTTCCCTTCCTTACTAATGTACATTTGGAAGCAATACATAGATCACAAAGTAGGTAAGAGGTTTCATTCAATAGACCGGTTCGTTTTATGCTTTCTAAAATCGTGCTCGTTTGTCATGTCATATTAAAGAAGAATATTGTTTGGGTCAAGTCATAAATGTGGGAAAAAGAGAGGGAGAGAGGCGACTTTGAGAGTCGTTATTCTTACACTGTTTGTGCATGTTTTACATTTATTGTTTCTGTGGTTGCAATTGTAAAGGAGTAAGGATTCGTAAAAAGAGACTCTCTCACCCGTTGTTGGTTTGATGCCTTATCATTTGTAGCGAAATTCCAACGCCAAGCTGTTCACTTGTTTGGAAAATTACGTGGGATTGTGACTTATCTAGTTTCCACGTCTAATCTCTCCTTTCTCTTCCACTTCTTTTTATGTCTATAATTCTTCGAATAATAATGTTATATTGTCATCTCTGTTTTTCCGGTTCAATCATCTCAAATTATTTCAACCATTATTTTATTCCATTTCCGTTTTTTCTTTATATATATATATTTTTTTTAATTCAATCTTACTCAATTGAGTTATATTATGATGTTGATTTTTTTTATTTATTAAAAAAATATACTTAATTTTACTTTTAAGTTAATTAATTTTTATTATAAACATTTTTACCGATGTAATTATTATTATTTTTTAATTTATTCTAGATACTTAAATGAATAAAGGTTAACCTCTCTATTAAAATTTAAAATTAAAACCAAAATAAATTTTTATTACTAAAATTATTGACTAAAGTAACATTCTTGTAAGATTATAAATTTAGTGGTTCTCTAAAAATTTTCAAAATAAGTTTTAAAATTTTAATTTTATGTTTAATAAGTATCTAAATTAAAAAAAAAATGTTTAATAAATTTTTGAAATTTATACTTACGATCCCGTCGCTTAAATTTAAAATTTTAAATAATCAAATCGATATTTAATAAAACCCTAAACTATCAATTTTATTAAAAAAAATAATAATAATTAAGAAAGTCAAGAATCTAACTAAAGTAAAAAGGTGCATAAAATAAATCAAAGACTTACCCTAAAAAGGGTGTATAAAGCCCATTTTTAATTTTTTAATATACGTAAAAAAAATGGTAAAATATCGATCCATATCCAAGATTTAAATCAAAATTTAAAATTTGAAATTTGAACGTGACACTCAAGTAGCCTCGACATTCTATTATATTTCAGGCAACATGACACCATTAATTATAATTATCTTCGTAAGAACGGTTATTTAAATATACGTGAATTATGTAATTTGTAGCATTAGCATAAGATAAATAAAATAGTTTTATAAGTTTTGGATGTGAAGGGGAAATAATGCAAGATTTGAGGAGTTTCTATTTTAAGATTATTTGAAGTTTACATATTTGTCTCCATCAATCAACATATCCAAAACTATCATATTTTCGTGGACAATAAAGCGTCTTCGTGTCCCAAACACCCCTTAACCGACCTGCCCAATCAACACGTTTTATGTCTTACGTTTTTTCCTTAAAAAAAAAAAAAGGACATTAATTAATTAATTAACTAATCATAAAGATGTAACTAAAGATTAGCAAGTACTAATTAAAACATTGTTTGATAACGATTAATTTTAGTAATATATATATTTGAATTATATTTGGATAATGATAGTTTGAACTTTTTGAATTTGTAAAATCTACCCAGATTTTTAAAATGCTGTTTAAGACCACGATATGGTTCATTTTGAGTCTGACCTCGTGTGGGTTTGTTTTTTCCAAAAAATTTCGTACCAATAGAGATAATATTCCTTATTTATAAAATCCATTACAGAGCTCAACATAGGTAAGATACTATCTACCATAAAAATTAATCCAAAAAATTGAGTGGAAAAAAAATAAAAACCCATATGATCAAATATAAAATGATGTAAGGAAAAATTACAAAAGTGGGAAGTTGATGCAATTTTGTTACCATAAAGTTCTTAGATCATACCCCAAATTTGAAATGATTAATGATTATAATAATAATAATAATAACTCTAAATTTTCCAAAATACATAGTAATTAATAATTAACATAATTAAGTAGGTACAAATCCCACATGAAAGAGAGGGAAAAAAAAGAAGGAAAAAAAAAAAAAAAAAGCTAGAAGTTCATGTAAGGATCATAAGAAGAGCACATGTATTGGTCTTGTCCAGAAGGAAAATAAAGGTTGTTGGGATCGAGCTGAGGCAACAAATTAGGGGGCTCCTCCATTTTCACGACGTCGTTTTGGGAGTACACAAAGCTATTTGTGTCGTTGTTATGGAACTCGCCGCCAGCAATTTGGTCGAAATGGAAGCCACAATTCACGGCGGCGGCGGCGGCGGTGGAATTGGAAGAGTCATCATAATCAACGAAATTAATCATGGTTTGATGAAGCCAAATCTGGGTTTTCAAGAACTTTACGTAATGAATGGCTTCATCCAGCATTGAAACAGTGTCCATTTTGGTGCCGCCCGGAACTAAGCTCTGCAAAATCTTGAACCGGTCGCTGATTCTATGCCGTCTTTCTCTCGCCGCCACGCTTTGTGGGTCAGTTGAGAGCTTCACAACGCCTTTGCTCCTCTTCCCTCCGCAGCTACCGCTACTGTTTTTCTTCAGCTTTTCCTTTCTGGTTGCTCCGGTGGTGGCGCCGCCGGAGGATGACCCACACGAGCTGGGGTTGCTCGCCGGAAAGGTGTAATCCATTATTTTTCCAACACACCCACTTGGAGAAACGAAGTGAGATTCAAAATGAGTGATGGGTTTTTTTAGCTTTTATATTATTTTATGTATAATGAAGAGAGAGAGAGAGAGAGAGAGAGAGAGATGTCGCCATGTGAGTCAACCGATCTCTGGCGTTGGATTCAATCCTATAAAAACCCTAGACGGGAATCCTCTTGTCTCATTGTGCAAAACAAAATTACTCCCATAAATTTCAAATTTGATTTTAATTTAGTTCCGATGATTTTGTTCTTAATACTTATGTTATGCTCAATTATTTATAAATATTTCAAAACTAATATGATAGAAATGAGTTAAATTATTGGATGTAAACTTTGATGTGATTGAGTACCTTTCATTCGAACTCAATCTAGGTAACTGTCTTCATTTCCGTCAAGTTGTTTTAAGTCACAATCGACTTTTTGTTCAATATTATAATGTATTTCTACTCCGAATGTCAAATGAACACCATAACTTTTAAAATATTATGACAAATAGTACGTAACAACAATCACTAAAACACGGTTCTTCCAATTTCCCTAAAATCCTTCTAACCCTCAACCTCTTTTCCCGTTCCCTTAACTCACTCTTCTCCTTTCTCCGGTAAATGATCTCCTAAATGCACCATTTTCATCCTTTTGACTCTGAACAAGAAAAAAAAGAAAGAAAAGAGAGGAAGTAGATTTGGAGTTTGGAACTAAATAAACTCCTCGAAAAATTTCTACTTCAAACCCAAACCCCTAAGTAAACTTTAGCTTTAAATCAAATCTTAACGAGTAGGATCAAATGAACAACGGCTCAAAAAAATTTAATGAGTTCAAGTTAGTCAAACAAGTTAAGTGAACTTACCATTGTAACGCTAGATAAGTAGAGTGTTGTATGAATAACACTTACCGTGTGGCTTATCTACACGTTATTTTCTAATGCTATGATATATTATGTTATAATTATGTTATGCTTACGAATATTTGTGGTGCATGTGTTTTCAGTATGTCATTCCAAATATATTATGATACCATGTGTAATAACCCAATAATAATAATAATAATAAATAAATAAAAGTTGTCCCACCTCCCTTAGGTTGAGAAATGGGGAGTTGAGTTCTATTATAAAAGGGTTGAGAAATGGGGAGTTGAGTTCTATTATAAAAGGGAGGCCCCTTAGTCTTCTTTCATTCTACTTGGTTCAAAGCCAGTCGAATAATACATTTTATGACGGCTCTAGGCCGGCATTTCGATTGATCCGGTTTGAGTCTGATACGCTCAGACCCTTTCCTACTAATTCCAACTCATGTTAGTATGACTATCTTTTAGCAAATTTAAATTACTTTATGCAAATTTTGGTGAGCCAATTTTCACATTACAATCATAAGAGACTTTTTAGATAGAATTAAATTTCAGAGATCAGCCTTAAGCTAGCATCAAGGGATCGTAGTAGCTTCGGCTTAGGCTAACCAAGTGAGTCACTTTATTGCCGGTTTGGTTGGAAGAATTGATTTATGTATGATGACATTTGCCCAATGACCCTACGCGTGCCATGTGTGATATGCTTGGTACGTGATGTTATGATATATGTCACTAAATGATATGCCAAGATACGCTAAATAACATTATGATATAAATAAAATGTCATATTATGTGACAATAAGTTATGTCATGATGTACTATGATATGTTATGATTAGGTCATGATATGTTATGAGATGCTATGATATGTTTTGAAATAAGAAAATTTAAAATGAATAAAATGATTTTATAAGAGTTCATGTACGCCTATTCTTGAGTGTAATATGTGAGGAAGAATGGGGTTGTCTTGCATAATTTATATTACAATGGAAGATATGGGAACCTTTATGCATAATTGTATGTTCACATGCATCGGGATATTTTCCTTTTATGATGAGTACAAATGCATACACTATGAGACTCAAATGACTATCATGTTTATCATAATGCTACGACAGTTGTTATTCCCTTCTTTTGTCCGGCACCAGTCCAGAGAAGCTAGCCCGACCAACAAGCCCATGGGTGTGCGAACCCGCCTAGTGGACACATGCCTGTATTTGTGGGTCGTGTCTAAAGAAGTACTACATATCCAATTCGTCTGGTCTGAAAAGATGCCTAAGAGAGGACAATTTTAAATGATAGGTCATGTTGTTTGCATTCCCTAACTCCAATAATGACGTCACTTACGAAGTATTTGTTTAAGGTATTCTCATATTTTAGGTAAAGGCAAGACACCCTAATACAGTTGACGGTGATGTCACATTAAAAATCATGGAACCTGTATTACAGTAGTTACATTTTTATCTCGTAAATCTTAAGTTAGATTAGGGCATTGTTTTAAATATTTTCTTTAGGTTTATTTGTTTCACATGGAATACTTTTCTTTGTTGTTTTTACATAAAAAGATCAGATCAGGTCACGTATATGTTAGTGACTTTTTTTTAACAGAAAACTAAGATCGTTATAGTTGGTATTAGAACTCTAGGTTATCGATGGTGTAGATTAAAGTAGGAAGTAAAATTGGTAGGAAAAGTTGAGAATTGGTTTAGTTAGAGAGGGAAGGGATGGGTTTGTGTGGTTGGAATTGGATGAGTTTAGGATTAGATTAGGTTAAGGAGAGGGAGGGGACCCTCAACACTCTCCCTCTTCCTCACAATCATCACAACTCGGCAATCACAGGAAAGACACTACTTTTACTCACGTTTAGGGCTCAGAACAATGAAGCCAAAGCCATTGGGGGATGCTGTGTAGGGGGTTTTAGGGTAGAGGGGGTCCTTCCACAGGGCTGCCTCACCCACTACAAATTTCTAAACAACATAATCACATCTTACTTTAATCATCCAACATTAAATTTTAATATTTTTATAAGAAAAAAAATAGTATTATTTCTATCTAACTCGATCCCGAATATAATTCGAACGGTTACTTAGAAGTTAACGATTCGATTCAATTCACTCTGCTCTTAAATTTTAAAAAATAGAAAAAGAAACCAAAAAAAAAAATGAACAGTAGAAGGCGATGATTAGCGGACCCCTCCAATCTAAAGAACATAGGACGATGGTCATTAGTGGAACCACGTATCGGAAGCATGCAATTTTGCAACTCTCCCCTTTTTTTCTTTTGCCCATCTCATTAAAACTCCACAAACAAAAGCAATACCTTTTCTTTTTAGTATATAATTTAGTATTTTTTTCAAAAAGTTAAAAATAAACTACGAAATGGGCTTTCCTTCCCACAAAGTTTTAAAATGGGTTTCATTAGAAGACGTTTCCACGTCCTTATAAGAAATGATTCGTTCCACTCTCCAACCGACATGAGATCTCACAATTCCCACATCAGTTAAACCTCCCAAGAAATTCTTCGTTCCACTTTCCTACAAACATCAAATCTTACAATTTCCACATCAGTTATAGTGTTAGTCTTGAGGGAAGATTCGAAAGAAAAGTTCGAGGTGGACAGTGTTCGCTAGCGGTGGAGTTAGGACTTTTAAATGAACGGTGGGAATTGGAAAGGGAAAGAAAGAGGGGGAAGTAAAGGGAGAAATGAGGGAGAGGGGGCCTGGGTAAGAAAGGAGAAACAAAAGCACATGTAGTAGCTCCGGCATTGGCGTTGGGTTGGTAGAACCCTAATTATTCTTATTTACTTTCTTCTACTAAATATTACTGCCTTTCATCTTTTTACTTGCTTGCTTACCTCACCTGCCCCCCACTCTACTCTCTACTCCAAAACCAGTCAGAGAGAGAGACATAGATTGGTCATTCATTTTGGTTAATTCAACTTCCTTAGGGTTTTATCAACACCCACACTCATTCCCTTTCTATCTCCACTCCAATATCTACCCTATCAACACAACACAAGATCATCATGTCCATATATGACTCAAAATTTGAGTGTTAATATCAACCATACCATTCCTGAATTAATTGAATTATACTTAAGTTGATCTTCAAAAAGTTTTTCTTTAGTAATAATAGGTGTGGGTATGAAGAGTGTACAGGAAGAAGAAGAAAGTTAGTACAAATTTGGATTAGCCAATTGATTGAATCATTCATATATTGGGTCCCTCAATCAAATAGTGTTTCTGATGTGAACTTTCCTAAATACACCACACCAAAAACCTTATTCAAAATCATTTTCCACTCTTTTCGAAAACCCTAATTCCCATAAATACTTAACTATTCACGTTTCATTATTCTTCAATATATTTCTCGACCCATCTTTTCGGAACTATATATGTTTATGGCGGTTGAAGTATGTTCATAATTATTGAATGAATAATTACGGATTTTTTTTTAAATATTGAGACGTTTTTTTGAATTGAAAAAAAGAAAATAGATGAAAGGATGAAAATGAAAAGTACAAGTGCATGTGTACCAAACCATGGGGAGGGGAGTCAAATTCAAATGATTATGTAATAGGAATAAAAATGGATAATAATCTAATGAGTGTTTTTTTTATTCACTCTAATATAATAATGTTTCAAATTAAGGGTTTTAAACCATTAAACATTTTGAAATACTTTTGAAAAGATGGCACTTTTTTTGGGGGGAAATAGTGACAATAAAGTAGCAGAGGTATAAAAGCCTATATTAGCAAAGCAATCCTAAACTTTGAGCTTTGATGGGCCCAATAAACAAGCCTATAATTTCGGCCCAATAGAAGTACGAGGCCCATTTTGGATGTTCTATATTTTAAATGGCCCAAACAGATATGGTATTGTTGGTTCAACAATAAAGTGTGCATAAACACTTATGAAAACAGTTAACGTGATTAATAGTCGTAGCACAGTTGGCTCGACTCGTACAACCCACGCTTAGGTAGAGAATTATTGACTCCCAACGAAAGGCCTTAACTTATAGAAAATCCTAAGCTAACTAGCCTAGAGTCCACTAGACGGATTCTCAAAATCCTCATATGAATAATTATTGTGTTAGGGATGCCTTTGTGTCTGGGCAATAGAGGAGTTAAGAAAAGAGATATTAATAGAGGCATACAACTTGCCATTTGTCATGCACCCAGGAGGTACTAAGATGTACTGAGATTTAAAACAACACTTCTGGTGGAGAAGCATGAAGAGAGACGTGGTTGAGTTTTTGAGCAAGTGCTTAGTGTGTCAACAAGTAAAAACTCCCATAAAAAAGACAACAGGGATGTTACAACCCTTAAGTATACCGGAGTGGAAGTGGGAAAATATAGCTATGAACTTCATAGTAGGACTACCCAGAACGTTGAAGGGCTATACAGTGATTTGGGTAATTTTCGACAGGTTGACCAAGCCGACACACGTCCTACTAGGAAAAACAACATCTACAGTTGAAAACTGGGTTAAACTGTATGTGAAAGAAATAGTAAGGCTACATGAAGTCCCAGTGTCGATAGTGTCGGATCAAGACCCACACTTTACATCACCATTTTAGCTTAGACTTCAAAAAGCGCGGGGTACTCGCCTCGACTTTAGTACCGCTTTCCACCATCAAACAGATGGCCAAACCGAGCGCCTAAACCAAGGGTAGGTGTAAAATGACTAAAATATCCCTATAATTATGTACCATTGGCTTATGACCAAAGTAATCTATGAAAATTGACGAGAAGCCTTATGTCATGGTTTGAAGGGATTATACAAAGTTACAAGACCATTGGAATATGTTAGGAATTAAACCAAGATTTGGGATGATAAATGACAAAAATACCCCTAAGAATTCTAAGATGTTTTCAAGACCTTAAAAGATTCAACATACTACGAAAACTTTGGTATATGAACCAAGAGGAAAAGTACGTAACTACCCTTAAGACATTTTATAAGAAATCAAGGTTTTTATTAATATCAAGTGACAAGATGCTTATGAAAAACTTATGCATATGCATGTAAAGAAATGTTTGACTCATGAATTAGGGTGTACTTATTAAGAATTTTTGCTTAATTATGCTTCAACACTTAAAAAGAAAAACTCTTAGAACAAGAACTCGAGATATCCTAAAGACTTCTTGATGAATAGTGCAACATGTTCCTATGACACAAACTACGTCACAGGAAACACATGAAGTTTGGGCATAGAAATTCAAACTATGTCTCATATCCATGTTATGCAAATACTTGACTTACTTGATGTACGTTCTAGACTACAGAACTCTATAGATAGACAAGGACTCAAATAATTCGAAGATTAAAGCACAATTTTTTTAGAGGTATATGATGTAATAACAGTAAAAGTATATACCTCTCTCATCTGGTATCAATAATTTACTGAAAGAAAAAAAAAATTAACAAAAATAGTTTTACTCAGATTGAGGATGTAGAGGGAAGAATTTGTCACAATAGGTTATTTAAATTTTACCTTTTCTTTTATCTGATTTTATTCCTTACTTTGTTGGCCAGAAAATTGCTTCATGATGCATAGCCAGAAAAGAAAATCAGAATCCATTGAAAATCAAAAGTATTGAATTAGAATTCATTGAAAATGGCCAAAATACTGAAACAAAATTAAAAAAAAAAAATAGAAGAAAGTAAAAATAGGAAAGATGATCCAACCCACATGAAATAATATTAACTTATCTTTTTAATTTAAGTTTTATTAGCAAACACAATGTAGAAACAATTAAAACACAATTAAGTTTATATTCAAAATAAGTGAAGACTCGATATAAGTGAGAACGAATTCGAAGATGAAAGCAACCAAATTTGGAGCTAGATAGAACTTTGGCTAAAACGAATCAAGTAAGTGACCTTACTACAGGATAGACTAGAAATTGTATGAGTTGCAATTTATGATGTATGAGCTATGATGATGTGTGAGTTTATGATGATGTATGAATTATATCGTATGATGTCGTATACTAGTATATGATGATGTTTGAGTTATAATGCATGATGATGTGCATAATATGTATATTTTGATTTATGACATACTTGATATGCTTGATACACTTTATGGCGATATGACGAGTATGATGATTGCATGACGTTTGTTTTAGTATGTTGATGTTTTCCATATTAAGCATGTTATATGATGACGAGTGTCATATTGCATCATGTCGATAGGCTGACATTGGACACAACCCTAAGAGCATGAAAATGATATTAATATAAATATCCACAAGTATGTGTTACTTAATGTAACAAAGAAATTAGACTACATGGCTGTATCAAAAGAGATGATAATATGGAAATTAGAGGGACCTCATACATGTTGTATGTCCATAAGTATCGGGATACTTCCCCTTGAGATGATGAATGTAGATGCGCACAGTATGATGATGACGGTGTTCATGGGGAGCATGACACCAAGGGTTCCGCTGACCTCTAGACGTTGCTACAGAGTAGCTTGACCAGAGAGGGTCCAGGGGGTGTGCGAGTCCTCGTGGGTTCACACTCGCATGTGTGGGTCATGTGTAGGTAAGTACTACACATCCATAGTAGTCCGAGACTGGAGACCACCCCTAGATGAGATAGAGATAGGTCACAAGAGCATGATTGCATGTGTTGCATTTGCATGGCCCCCACAGTGGGGTCACTTACTGAATATTATTCGAAATATTCATGTTGTGTGCCACATATTTTCCCGGTAAAGGTAAGGTGCACATGTACAGATAATGGCAACATCGCAAGCAGAGACTATGACACGTGCATCGGATAGATTCATGTTTAAATTCCTAATCTTAGGTTAGAATAAGTTGTTTTGCATTTCATCGATTTAAATTATTTTTTATTTTATTTAAATTTTAGTATTTCGTATTAAACACGTAAGATCATGGCTGTTCATCGACTCTTTGCATCTTCTTAACTAGAGTCTTTTCTACTTCCTTCATTGTGGAATTTTTCATCATGGCAGGAGGTCATGCTACCTCCTTGTGTCTAACGTCTTCTTGATCGAGATAGTAACATTTCAAGTTACTTACATAGAAACCATAACTAATCTGCATCGGAAGCGATATGTAATACAAATCTTTGGAAGATTTGGAAGATTTTATATTTTAAAGCTAATTCATTTGAAAATTCTAGTTATTAAAAGTATTATTCAATAACAAATAAAAAAAAAAATCACTTCTAATATTACCATAGTTTAAAATAAATAAGTAAATAAAGACATTAAGCACATGAAGACTAAAATAATCATATAATATACATTCAAATTGTACCATGTAAGTGATTAATTTAATTGAATAATTAGCTCTTCATGCATCCTAGAGACACACATGGATTAGTTTAATCAATTCATGATTAGAAAACTTTAAACACATAATTTTATGTAATTTATTTTTTTTAATTAATGCTAATATTTGTCTGATCAACAACAGATAAGTATGTGCATGTATTGGAATAAGAGAATATGAACATCTATGTATAAATTAGAGAATTATTCAGTGTTTTTATAAACTTTTACATTCCAATTTTTATTTACTCAAATTTGACTACAAGTCCGAATCTAGTTTCTATAGTTTCTAGGAAATCAATAAATAGATCGTGATATATAACAGTAAGATCACACATCAGTTGAAGAGGAGAACGAAACACCCTTTATAAGAATGCAAAAACTTCTCACTAACAGACGTGTTTTAAAACTGTGAGGCTGACTATAATATGTAACGGGTAAAAGCGAATAATATCTACTAATGGTGAGTTTGAGTTATTACACTAACTAAATGACATTATTTTTATCGGTATGACAGACAATGAAAGTATCGACATAAAATAGACAATATCATATCATCACGAACGTTTATTGTTTCTATCGGAGACAAATTAGGTACAAATCGGGAAATAAGTACTTCAGCATCTCACTTAGAATTTGATGGGTTGAATTCATTTAGTCAGATCCAGAGTACTTACTCTCTCTTTAACCTCCTCTTCTTTTGCTATGGAGATTTTGAATGAAATGAGCACAAAGATAGAGACAAATCAGTTCTATCTTCTAAACCTTCTTGTTCTATCCTCCTTCTCTTCTCAATCTTCATCTCCTCTCTTGCTGCAATCTTCAGCGATAAACTCAAGTCTATTTCTTCATCCCCTTTCCTCGTTCTCGTGTTCCGTTCACCGACCATGCTCGTGCTGAATTCCCTCGATCTCGCTTCACTCAATGCCGAGGCCTTCCCCATGTAAAGGGTTTGTGTTGTTTTGTTCTCGTAATCACTCCATGAATGGCTACCGAATCTAACACGACGACGATCAAATTCGAGATGAATTTTGCAAAAAAAAAAAAAAAAAAAAAAAAAAAGATTGTAATGAATTAAGAGGTGTTCTTACCGAAAAATATTAGAAGGGTAGGTTTGGTTATGGCGTTGGAACATGGGGATTTGGCTGACAGTGAATATGTTGCGATCACTAGTTTGAGACATTAGAACCCTTTGATCTGCCACCGTTGTCATTTCATTGCTCTTCTTGCTTCGATACATCTGAAGAGCAGAAGGGAAAATTGAGATGAATTTATGCAATGATTGATTGAATAAAGGAAGAGAGATTAGTTAGTGTGTAAAGCAACCTGGAGATGGCTCTTGACATGGGCGATGCTTAGTCCTTTGATGTTCATTAATTGAAGAACCAACTTGGGTGTAGCATCTATGCAACAAAAATCATGAACAAAACATGGAAATTTAGATCTAAAAATTAAAATTTTGAAATTTTGAAATGGATTTGAATTGAGCTCATCCTAATAAAGAATTTGTTAAATGATGGGATGATGAAGAATTAGGAGTAAATTGGATGAAGTTGATTATTACTTTGTTGTCCGCCGAGTGATTGGACGGCATGAAGGAAGCGGAAGTGGAGATCGGGGGTCCAACGGAGTCGTGGGAGTTTGGATCTGACATAGGGCCTCACGGTGGGCTTCTTTTGCCGCTCATCGTTCTCTTCAATTGTGCTGTTGCTTGAGCTGCCTTCATTTCCCAATTCGCTTTGGGACTTGTTGCTATCACTTCTACTCTTGTTTGAACATTCTGCTGCGGCTGCTGCTGCTGCTGCTGCTGCTGCTGCAGCACCACCGTCGCTTCCCCCTTCCATAGATCTCTGATACCTCCCTCCAAACAAGAGAGAAAAAGGGCAGGGCTTGGGTGTAACACAGAGATTACAACACAGGAAGAATGATAGCTATAAAGAGGCAAAAGGCTTCAAAGAGGAAAGAGAAAGACAGAAGACTCGTGTCTGATGATGTTGGGAAGCTTCAAATGAAGCTTCATCAACTATACGCATCTCATCATGTGTGACACTCAGCTTGGTTAAATTAGGGCATAATGATCATGTGCATCATACATCTCACATCCCATGCATCCCATCGCATCCCATGTCTATATGTGTATTAAAATATAACTCTTGTCGGTTTGGAATGAATCCAAATATCAAGTTTTCCCATAAATTATTACAATTATTTTGTTTTGAACTTAGGGCAATTAAAATGGAGGTTCTCTTAGTGTCGCAAGGATATACCCATTACAACCTTTACGGTTTGGGTTATGAAAATTTTATGAGTTGAGTTACGTTAGACATAAGCCCAATGAAATTAGTATTCCTTACTTATAAACCCATGATCATTCCCTAAATTAGCCGATGTGGGACTTTCATCATCCAACACCTCCCCTCGAACAAAGTGCGCCTTCCCTTAATCGAGGCTCGACTCCTTTGGAGTCTTAGTCATTTTTTACTGCCTTCGAGTAGGCTTGACTCCTTTTCTTTTGGAGTAAGCTCTCATGGTTTTGCTTTTCGCTTCACCAAAATGTCTCACGCCAATGAAGATAGTATTCCTGATTTGACTTGAATTTCTGAATTTCTGGTTGATTTTAAAATATATATTTTTTTGCATACGATATAATTATATATACATATCTTTATTTAATTTTATTTAAATTCATTATTATTTTTTTGATTATTTATTCTCTAACCATTCTTTTAAATAATTTTGAACTATTGGTAAGATAATTGACGCAAAAATCTTAATTAAATATTTAAAAGAAAAACAAATAAATGTTTTTCGAAAAAAATATATATATATTTTACTTTTATTAAAAATAATAATTACCAACCAAACTCAAAATGTCTCGACCAACTCAACTCACGAACATTTTTAGTCTCAATATTCACCGAAGATCAATGAATATTTTTAAAAACTTTTTATAGATATAAATATTTAAATTTATAAATAAACACTTAATCCATTTTAAATATATTTTTTTAATCTCTCATTGTTAATATAAAATAAACATTTTGATATTTAGTTACATTTTTCTCGATTTTCAGTGGATATTGAAAATCATTATAAATAATGTAACTTAATTGATTAAAACATTTAATCATAAAAAAATAATAATAATAAATAAAGATGAGAGAGAGAAAAAAAGAGGGCCCTTAAGTTTATGCATTTTATTATATAGTTGGGAAAATGTGAGAGATTTGGACAAAACCAGAAGTAATAATTTTATGAAAGGAATTTTGGCGTCACAAAAGATGTCTTTCGATTCTATTTTATTAATAATTCCCATAAAAAATAATATATAAATGGGTGGATCATATTCATTATATTTCTTATAACTATTATATAATCCTAATTATATTTTTATACATATATACAAATCGTCTAGCATGTGTGGATGAGATTAGAAGAAAGGAACTCGTGTTGCAGATGGATCCCATCTATGAGAAAAGAATCACGGACTTTATCGCTCTAGACAAAGAGAGAAGGATTGAGTGGTTCATATCCGATCCATACCCTTATCATAACATAGTCATATCAATTGAAGTTGCGAGTCTCGAATGTATAATTATAGTGAAGATCCATATTAGAGCTCTATTGGATTAACAATATGCTCCTGGCAAATATGAATCATCTAGAAGATATGATTATTTACAAGGAAGATCGTTGATATTTTGTTCGAGAACATGAACATATACGTAACATACACAAAAAAGAAAAAATTGAACATATTTACTATTTAAATCATATTTCATGTTATTGATATGTGCGGAGTTTGAATTTTTCTTTTCGAGTGATGATGCACAACGAACAAAAAGAAAGTATGATAGAGCGTGTGATTTAGAATGGTGGATTAACGTGTGATTTAGAATGGTCGATTTGAAAAAGAGAATGGGAAAGAAGAGATGGGTTTGGTGTTTTCATTCCTTCCACGTGCATTGCTTCATACGGTTGGAAGGTATGAGGCCTTGATTTTGCTATCTTTCATGTGTATCTTAGCTAGCTTGATAGAGGCATTTTCTTGGCTTTAAATCACGGATGTCCTGAGCCTTTGCACCCCATTTTTAGGCAGATTCTAGTTGAGTATTTAATTTACTCCTGCCCATGCCCATGCATATGCAACTTGGATATTTTCTTATCTTATTATTATTTTAATTCTATGTATTCAAATGCTCCGTTAATCCGTAGAAACCATGTTTATTAGGAGTTGACATCAATATGCTCGTATATAATGTTACTGTAACGGTCCAGATCATCGCTAGCAGATATTATCATTTTTGGGATTTCCCTTTTAGGCTTTAAAACGCATCTGATAGGAGAAGGTTTCTACATGCTTATAAATGGTGGTTTGTTCTCCTCCCCAACCAACGTGGGACATCACAATCCACTCCCCTTCGGGGCCCAGCATTCTCGCTGGCATTCTTTCCTTCCTCCAATCGATGTGGGACCGCCCCCAAATCCACCCCTTTTGGGGCCCAACGTCTTTACTGGCACACCGTCTCGTGTCTACCCCCCTTCGAGGAACAGCGAGAAGGTTGGCACATCGTCCAGTGTCTGGCTCTAATACCATTTGTAACGGCCCAAATCCACCGTTAATAGATATTGTCCTCTTTGGGCTTTCCCTTTCTTGCTTCCCCTTAAGGTTTTAAAAGGCGTCTGCTAGGGGAAGGTTTCCACACCCTTATAAATGGTGTTTTGTTCTCCTCTCCAACCAACGTGGGATATCACAATCCACCCCCCTTCGGGACCCAACGTCCTCACTGGCACTCTTTCCTTTCTCCAATGAATGTGGGACCGCCCCCAAATCCACCCCCCTTCGGAGCCCAGCGTCCTTACTGGCACACCGCCTCATGTCTACTCCCCTTCGGGGAACAGCGAGAAAGTTGGCACATCGTCCGGTGTCTAGCTCTGATACCATTTTTTACGGCCCAAATCCACCACTAGCAGATATTGTCCTCTTTGGACTTTCCCTTTCAGACTTCCCCTCAAGGCTTTAAAATGAGTGTGCTAAGAGAAAGTTTCCACACCCTTATAAATGGTAGTTTGTTCTCCTCCTCAATCAATGTAGGACATTACAGTTACGGTATGTTTAATCCTTAATTCATACTCTACCACAAAACTTATTATTATTTTTGTAAGCTTTCCTATTTACGACACAAAACTCTTAACATGTTTGATATGTCTCGTACTAACAGAGGTCGTGTCATTTATTTATATACTCGTGATCTTTTTCTTAATCTATTAACGTGGGATTGCAACAACTCTCCTCTCGAACAACAATCTTCAACGTATGGTCCCTAGACGAAGAATTTCATATTCGGAAAGCCACGAGATTCCCTAAATATTCTTAAATAATATTAATTTAAATTCTTACATCCCTAAAAAATAAGAATAAATAGAGGTTCCATGATCAGCTTCCCACATGTTGAACATCAAAATCCCATTGGAAAAATCAAAAAATAAAAATAAAAACAAAACAGAGAGCCAAAGTTTAGTCAGAAAGATTCACTCACCACCGTGGCCTTATCCTGTTTCGTCAACGATCAACAGTGCCTTTGTCTGTTCTTTTTCTTTATTATTATTATTTTTAAAAATTTAAACATATATTTAATTTTAATACATATAATTTAAAATTTGCATGAGAATGCGAATAGCCTATTTATGCGGATCTAACCCTAACCCATAATTTGAGAATGAGTATGTCTGTCCTTTTTCGTCTTTAATTTATATATTATTATATATATATATATGCACCATGCATTTGCACATGCATCATAACCATGTCATGCCATGTTTGTTTATTTATATATAATATTTGATTGGTAGGTGGATGGTATTTGTATCAATATTATTTTATTGCCAATAATATGATGCTCTATCTTTATTTCTTCATTATTTATTTATGTATGTGTGACAGATAAATAAACAAGTCATTACCATATTCCTAAACTCCTACTTCAATAAGTGTGTGTGTCTAAAAAAACAGGCTTTTTTAATGTTTTTTTTTTCTTAAAAAAATTATATTATATTTTGGAAATCATGTAATTAAATATTTAATTAATGTTAAGTAGAATGTAAAGAAGAACAAATTAAGGTAGACAATATATTTTTAAAGGATTTATGGGAAATTTCTGCATTAAAGGTATATAAATATTTATTTATTTATTTATTTTTAGCAATATTGTAGGGGACTAGTTTTGGAAAAAAGATTCTCTATAAAAACTACTAATTTATATTGGTGTGGTTCCAATCAATACGTATGAATGGGTTGAAGGAACACAAAACGACATCACAAAAATATATTTTCTTAATTCTCAGTCAAAGACACTGCTTGTCTTGTTCTCGAACGTTAATTCTTCCTCTTTAGGTTTAAAAGCTCGAGTGAAATTTCAATGAACGTATCCAAAATTAATCGACGTTTTAGATATTGTAGTAGCAAAGTAAAGTAAGGTGTGACAACCCTAATTTTCGAAGGGAACTAGAGTCTCTACTATGTACAATATGTAACTTCTTATGCAAAAATATTTATTAACTTTTTCATAAAATAATGTTATAGACTTGCGTGTTTAAGAAAAAATCTTAAAATAATACAAAGGAAATATTAAAATAAACATGGTTAAATATAAAAGTAGTAATGTCTTATACTAACCTAAGATCTAGGAAATTTAATGTGAGTTTTATGGTCTTTAATTGCGATACTGCCGTTAACCGTACACGAGTGTCTGGCCTTTATTTGAAATATAAAAGTAGCACATGACTTGAATATTTTACGAAAGATCTTACTATTGAGGTCAAAGAATGCAATCACATGCAATCATGATTAGAGACCTATCATTTAAAACCATCGTAGGAGTGGCTCAAATCACTAAAAATTTGATGTGTAGTACTTACCTTGGAATAACCCTAAATATTAGGAAAAATAAAAGAAGAGAAAATGGATTGTCCCACGTTGTTTAAAGTTGAAAATGGGGTTAG